CCGCAAGTGCGCACACCCCCAGGGCCGCCATTGGCCAGACACAGCAAAGGTCCATCCACATTCAGCCAAAATTTTAAAAATGCACTTGTAGTTCAGGGCCCCTCGCTACAGGAAGGACACTGAGGTGCTGGGGCACGTCCAAGGAGCAACAAAGCTGGTGAAGGGTCTGGAGAACCAGTCTGGCGAGCAGCGGCTGGGGGAACTGGGGTTCTTAGCCTGGGGAAAAAGAGGTGGAGGGGAGACCTCATCGCTCTCTGCAGCTGCCTGAAAGGAGGGTGTGCAAGGCGGGGTCGGTCTCTTCTCCCAGGTGACAAGCGATGGGACCAGAGGAAGAGGCTCTGGTTGTGCCAGGGGAGGTTGAGATTGGTATCAGGAAGAATTCCTTCACTAAAGGGTTATCAATCCTTGGAACAGGCTGCAGGGGAAGCGGTTGAGTCACCATCCCTGGAGGGGTTTCAAAGACCTGCAGACGTGGTGCCTGGGGACACAGAGTAGTGGTGGCCTTGGCAGTGCTGGGTTAACACTTTGTTTGCCGATGATACCAAACTGAGCGGGGAAGCAGACACGTGGGAAGGGCAAGCCATCCTGCAGGAAGAGCTGGAGAAGCTGGAAGTGGGCCAAGAACCTGGTGAAGTTCAGCAAGGACAAGGGTATGGTCTGGCACCTGGGGAAACACAATCCAGGAGGGCAGCACAGGCTGGGACGCCCCCGGCTGGGGAGCAGCTCTGTGGAGAGGGACTGGGGCTCCTGGTGGCCAACAGGGTGGGTATGAGTGAACAGCACGCGGCTGCGGCACAGAAAGCCAGCAGGGTGCTGGGGGGCATCAAGGGCAATCCCAGCAGGGACACAGAAGACATTACCCGACTCTGCTCAGCGCTTGTCAGGCCACGCCTGGAATCCTGTGTTCAGTTTTGGTCCCCGCTATGCAAAAAAGGTGTGGAGAGCCTGGAGAGGGTCCAGGGAAGGGCCACAAAGATGACCCATGGACTGGGGAGCCTGTCATGTAAGAGAAGGCTGAGAGGGCTGGGTTTGTGCAGCCTGGAGAAGGCTGAGGGCAGACCTTGTCACTGCGTTACAAAGAGCGTGGTTACAAAGAAGATGAAGGCTCCCTTTGTACAAGGAGTCACATGGAAAAGACGAAGGGTGACGGGTACAAGTCACTCTGGGGAGATTCCTGTTGGACACGAGGAAAATCTTTCACAATGAGCCATTGGAATAATCTCCCCAGGGAAGTGGCGCGTTCCCCAGCACTGAGCACTTTTAAGATTCGGCCGGGCAGGGTGCTGGGCCGTCTTGCCTAGAATATGCCTTACCAAGAAAGGCTGGACCAGGTGATCCTCCAGAGCCCTTCCAACCTGGCCTTCTGTGATTCTGTGATTAACAGTTGGATTCGATGATCTTAAGGGTCTTTTCCAACCTAAATAATTCTTTGACTCTATTTTTTAAAAACATTCATTCAAACTGACTTCCCCCGCTGCTGCCAGGAGCCGTGTATTGGCTCATACGGGTGCAGCTCCCCCTCCCCACCACAGCCCCCAAACAGCTTCTCGGCCGCTTCCGGAAGGACTGGCACAGGCACGCCACCGACACCAAGGGCACCAGAAAGGCATTGGGACTGGGCTGCCCAGCAAGGACTGTTCTTCAGGGGAAGGCACCCGCCAACCCCCCTCGGGCAGTGAAACCAACCTGGATGAGGTCCAGGGTGCCCAAGAGACCAACCTGGATGAGGTCCAGGATGCCCAGCTCGCTCTCCGAGGAGTCCACGCAGAAGACAAAGTACAGCGTGGCGTAGTGCCGGTAGATCAGCTTGTAGTCGGAGCCGCCAAACAGGCTGCAGAGACACGAGGAGAGGCGAAGGGCTTTGGGGGGCACACACACACCCCACGCCATCCCCTGGCCGAGGGGACAGCCCCGCGCAGCCCCCAGGCAGGGGGAGCAGAGGGTTACCTGCCACACTCCAGGAAGTTGCAGATGTGGTCATCCCGCTTCAGGACCAGGTGGAAAGTCTCTCGGATAATCTGCTGCTGGACTTCCTCCGCCTGTGAGGAGCCAAGAAGAAGCACCCATGGGCCCACGGCCTGGAGGACCCTGTCCCCTGCTCTCCCCCAAGGGACACGATGACCCGGCAGCTCCGGACGAGAGGCACAACCCAGGTCCCTGCCAGCCCGGGGGGTGACCCGGCCGTGGGA